AAAAATAATTCACTCTGGGTCTTTCCACCATCTAGTACCTAAACCTTGACAGTGACAGAGACTGCTCTCTGATAACAGGAGGCTAAGCTGACAAAAGCCACACTAAAGCGTCTCCCATCGCTCACTCACACAGCAGCCTGCAATGCTCCTGAGACCAGAAGGCGTTAGCCTGAGAGAAGGAGTGTGTGAAAGCGCCAGCATTTGAAAGGGACAGGTGTAAACCCTCCAAACACGGGAAACGGCTTTCACCAATTCCTCTCCCTGCATTATCGATGACCAGAGCACAGGCAGCCCGTGATCATTTTTGAATGCAGGTGTACACAAGGCCAGAGAGAGATCCACGAGGAGAAACGGATGCCAGCAGCCTGTGGACTACGTCCAGTCCAGGAAAACAACCCAGCCACGCACAGGACCCCAAAAGTGGCCCTGCTTGCCTGCAAAAGCCCCATAGAACCTCCCTGCCAGGAGGAATCAAAGAGAAGTTACATGGGGCAAAAACCATGGGAAAATACTAGTTGGTAATGATAGGAATCATGTGGTCTCAAGTACCACAAAAGTCACCTCTATTAGAACGTTATTTTCTGGCCAGATGTGGTGGCTCATCCCTGTAATCCCAGCACTTTGGGAGGCTGAGGCAGGTGGATCACAAGGTCAGGAGATGGAGGCCATCCTGGCTAACATGGTGAAACCCTGTCTCTACAAACAATAAAAAAAAAAATTAGCCAGGTGTGGTGGCATGCGCCTGTAGCCCCAGCTACTTGGGAGGCTGAGGCAGGAGAATTGCTTAAACCTGGGAGGTGGTGGTTGCAGTGAGCCGAGATCGTGCCACTGCACTCCAGCCTGCAAGACAGAGCAAGACCTTGTCTCAAATCATAATAAAAAAAAGACATTATTTTCCAAATGAAGAAAATAAGGTTCTGAATCAGTCCTTGATTGGGTAGTGGCAGAAGGGGATTCAAAGCCAGGGGACCAGAGGCTCTGATGCCTAGGTCCATTCATTTTCCATTACAACATCCTGCTGCCCAGAGAGGAAGAGCAGAGACCTCTTATTACCAAAGTGAGACTCTGGAGGTTTCTCCAGAGTAGCAAGCCCTAAAGCACATGAAGGGCCAGAGGTGATCTGGGTTGGCTGGGTGGACAGCGGATCTGGAGACCCACAGTGCCATTCTCATCTCACCTCTTAGCTACCCTACATCAACCCCAAAGCCCCTGGGAACATATACAGGACTGTACTAAATAGAAGGAACCAACATTCCAGAGAATGAACCAGAGATCTTACCTCAAGGACACTGAGGTCTAGCATGTTTGCGACATGGCAACTCCCATGATGCCTCTGCACACAGTGGATTATCTGCAACAGGTAAGATGCCATGAATGAGCACCCAGCTTGACCTGCTCAGGGATGGCAGGCGACAGGGAAGGGCTTGGCACAGTAGTTACCAGACGGTAAACATTCCTGAGCAAACACACTATTTCCTCATAAAAGAGAAAACAGTTAACTCTACAGAGGAAGACATTGGATGGTCTATGGCAGGGTGGCCAACACTGACCAACGTGTAGTTAATCAGCAAAAGATGGAAAAGGAGATCCAGCCAGGCGCGGTGGCTCACACCTGTAATCACAGCACTTTGGGAGGCTGGGGTGGGCGGATCATGAGGTCGAGAGGTCAAGAGATCGAGACCATTCTGGCCAAAATGGTGAAACCCCGCCTCTACTAAAAATACAAAATTAGCTGGGCATGGTGGCGCACACCTGTAGTCCCAGCTACTCAGGAGGCTGAGGCGGGAGAATCACTTGAACCCAGGAGGCGGAGATTGCAGTGAGTCGAGATTGCGCCACTGAACTCCAGCCTGGTGACAGAGACACTCCATCTCAAAAAAAAGAAAAGGAGATCAAAACCAGGTTTACAGGAGTGTGCCATGGCTGAGTAGCAGTGACTCTACTGGTCATCAAGGGGAATTTAAGCAACACACATAGCCTGGTTCCCAACAACAGGGAGCAGGAAGTGAAAGCCTTAATGACATAACACAAACAGCAGCCCCCAATCCCCCGGAGGCCCAGGTGTGTGCAGCGTTGAGAAGCAGGAGTGTAGGAAAGTTCCTGGGACACGAAGGTGACAATGTGGATCCTCCAAACACCGGACAACCTTTCCCACATTTCCTCTGCCTGCACTATCGATGACCAGGACATGGGCAGCTGTGATCACTTACACATGCAGGCGCAGAAAATGGCAGAGGGTGATCCAGGAACAGAGGCCAAAGCGAGCTGCCTGGAGGTTGCCAAAGCGCCCAGCCCAAAGGACCTGAGTGCTATCCACTTAAAGCAGTACAAAGCTCTCATCTGGCCCCATCAAGAAAGTCACAGAAGACTAATTTCTGGTAAAAATGCCTAAATTGTTAGCTCCTCCCACAAATACTGAGTATCTGCAGGTAGCAAGACACCATAGGTTCAAAAGCAAAAAAAACGTGCATGGCCTCTCCCCTCACAGAGCTTTTGCAGTTTCCTTACCTTACAGAAGCCAAGCTCAGGAGAATGAAAGAACTTAGCCAGGCTGGCCTCTGCAACCGGCTTTGCCAGACAGTTCTCGGAATTCATGACCATGCCCTCTGCTGGGGTTCCCCAAAAGGGAAATCTGAAGTGTCCCCCCATAAGGTGCTCATGAGCAGCAGCACTTACACAGGGACATCCTCACCCCGCGGACAGTGGGAGCCCCTCAGGGAGTGCAGATCAGGGTGCTGCAGGGAAGATGGGGGCGCTGGCTGGTGCAGCTGGTGGGAAACCAGCAAAGCCATCCAAGGGAGAGCTGTCATCTGTCTCCGGGAGAGCCGCACAGCCCACGAGGCCTAGGCAGAGAAAAGCGTGGGGAAGGGGCTTTAGTACAAGGCCCTGGCAAAGGAGCCTGGAATTAGCCCTTCTGGGGCCCTGAGAGCGTCCTCCATTTAAACCTCAGCCAACTGGTCTGTAAAATGGAGGTTTAACACCTACTTTTTAAAGGTTATTGAGGGGAAAATGAGTTAACGGCTCCAAGAGCGTGACACAATGACTGACCCTGTAAGCAACCGACAAACGGCTTTGAGGGCTTCCAACGTCAGGGGTCGGAGATCGGGGTCGGGGGAGTGAAAGTCGTGGGGTCAATCGCGCCTCTCAGCCCGCATGCAAGGCCCCGGGCACAGCGTTGCCAAGCCGTTTCTCTAGGGGCACTAGGCCTCCCCGCAGGGAACCTGCGCGGACCAGGGGGTCGGACGTCCGCATGGGGTTGCCTCAGCCCAGCGGCGGCCGAGGGCGCGGCTCACCCGCCAGTCTCTTTCCCGAGGACACACGAATCCCGAGGGGCCCACCCCGGCGGAGGGGATGGGACACTGCACCAGGGGCTGGGCCTGACGTCCGGCCGGCTCTCCCCACTTCCCTCGGGGCCTCAGTTTCCCCTTTTGTCAGGGAGGAGGTATACACAGCACAGGCCTTAGGAGGCCGATGGGGGTTCCTGGAAAGGTCACGCCTCGGGCGCAGCCCCTTCAGTGACTCATCCGGGGCGCCAGGACGGATGGTGCCGGGTCCAGGGGTAACCGCGCGGCTGGGGGGTGCCGAAGGGCCGGACGCAGGCCGCACCTGCAAAACACTCTCCAACGCTCAGCGCCCGCAGAAATACAGCGGGGGGCGCGGCTGCAGCCTAGAGCGGCGCTTCCGCCGGCCCCTGCCTGCGCAGACGTGCCTGCAGCGCCCCCTGGCCGGACGGAGCTGCAATTATGTCCCTTTACTAACGCCTTTTCCCAGCATTCATATAAAGGAGCATCTCTTCCATGAGTTCACCCACCCGTCGTGAAACAGCTTCCGTTTGAGGACACAGTGGGAAGATCTATAGCCATCAGTCTATAACCCAGGAAGTGGGTTCTAGCCACTTCCTGGTTTACCAAATCTACTGGTGCTTTTGATCTCGGACTTTTAGCCTCCAGAACTATGAGAAATAAATTTCTGTTGATTATAAGCCACCTAGTTGATGATGGCACTTTGTTATACAGCCCAGTCAGGGGTCCGCTGGCAAATAGGTCATCCTGGACCATGGCCAGCCTGGTGTCAACACACCTTCCTCTCCAAGCAAAAAAAAAAAAAAAAAAAAAAAAAACCACCAAAAAAATCCTCTTCAAACATACATCCCTTCTAGCATTGGCAAGAGTGTGTCTGCAGTCTTGTTTTGTTTTTGACGTCAGCAGACAAAGGGTTAGCCATTGAGAATAGACTGTTCTTTGAATGCTGTAACAAAGGCTGTCATAACACATGTATATCAAGAGCTCATCTTGCTGCCCTGTTTGCTGGAATCCCTCACTGCGTAGACCTGTGTCAGAGATGGGAAAGTCAACCTGGATAAGCAAAATGCCCACAAGGCTGTATGCAACCGCCAAACCCTCAATGGAATTTCTTAATAACTGGTCATTGAGAACAAGTTAAGGAAAAGGCTTGGGCTTTTAGATACAATGCGTTGGTGACAGAAACCTGATTTATGCTTCAAAAATAAAATACAGGATTGGAAAATAGGTTTTCTGGCTTAGAGCGGTGCTTCCGCCGGCCCCCACCTGCACAGAAGTGCCTGCAGCGCCCCCTGGCCAGACGGAGCTGCAATTCTGTCCCTCCACTTATGCCTTTAATCCAAGCGTAATCTAGTGAGGGGAAGGGCAGAGGTCAAACTGGGCCTCCAAGACAACAAACACCAGAACTGGAATTCCATCCCTCTGCCTCTCTTTCTGGGTGGACTTCCGACTTCACATTCGCTCTGGTTTTGGCTTACAATGAGGGACATATGCCACATTGACCCAGGGGAACATCTCCATTCTGCTTGCACTGAGGGTAGGCAGGACTGCCACATACAGTTGTGCAGGTCGTGTACTGCACAACTCATGGGAGCACCATTCACATCATAGCCTATGGTTGAGAAGCAGAGGTGCCAGGGGTGCTTGGGCAAGCTGATGACACAGAAAACACTCTACTTAAAGGAAAGAAGGTGTTTTCTCTAGTGTGTTCTTCTCTGGTGCAACAGAGGTAAAGGAAGGGGGTACAGGTGTCAGGGAGCCTACAGGTGGTCACATCCAGCTGTCACCATTGATAAAGATGCAACTGATTTCCATCTGCCTGACTCTCGTGTCCACCTCCTCGCAGTGGTGGGGTCAGAAGGCATTCACAGGGCAGAAGCACCATTCCTGCCCTTCAAGGGCACTGGGGCCAGTACTTTACAGCTGAAGTCTGTCAATTTTTTTGTTTTTTTGAAACAGGGTCATGTTCTGTCATCCACTTGCATTGCAGTGGTGCAATTATGGTTCACTGCAGCCTCAACCTTCCAGACTCAAGCGATCCTCCTGTCTTAGCCTCCTGAGTAGCTGGGACTACAGGTGCATGCCACCAGGCCCTGCTAACTTTTTAAAAAAATTTTTCGTAGAGATGGGATCGTACTATGTTGCCCAGGCTGGTCTCCAACTCCTGGTCCCAAATGACCCTCCTGCCTTGGTCTCATATTCAGTCCATAACGTCCCACAAAGGATTTTGAGATCCTGCTCCACAACACCAACGTACACTTCCTATTGACGCACTTTCAGCTGAGATCACGAGTGCAAGCCCCCAGGCCTGGCCCTGTGCTCATGTTCTGCTTTTGGTATTTCATTAATTTTATTTGTTTTGTTTTATTCTGTTTTTTTGAGTCAGAGTCTCACTCTGTTGCCCAGGCTGGAGTGCAGTGGTGCTATCTCAGCTCACTGCAACCTCTGTCTCCTGGGTTTAAGTGATTCTCCTGCCTCAGCCTCCCAAGTAGCTGGGATTACAGGTGCCCACCAACATGCCCAACTAATTTTTGTATTTTTAGTAGAGACGGAATTTCACCATACTGGTCAGACTGGTCTCGAACTCCCAGCCTCAAATGATCCACCCGCCTCTGCCTCCCAAAGTGCTGAGATTACAGCCGTGAGACACTGTGCCTAGCCTGTAATCTCAATTGTCCTGTTTTTTTTTTGTTGTTGTTCTTCATTTTTTTAAACCCCTCAAGAGCCAGGAGCAGACTGGGACACAAGGAATTTTGTTTACATTTCAGAATTAAGCGAGTGCTCTCCTGTTGCTGCAATGAGCATTTCTCTTTCTTCTTTTGTATCACATTTAAAGATCATCTATTACAGGCCATGCAATGAGATGGGAAATACTGCCCCATCCGGTTCCTAACTTGTCCACAAACCAGCACAGGGGTCCGCTCCCCATCCCTGCCGCCTCTTCCTCTTCTTCCTCTTTCTCCCCTAAACCCTTAACAACCTTTCTGTTGCAACTGTGAAGGACTCCTATTTGAGCACTTCAAAAACCCGCCAAGAGCCAGACACAGTGGCATGCACCTGTAGTCCTAGCTACTGGGGAGGCTGAGGCAGAAGGATCCCTTGAGGCCAGAGAAGCATAGCAAGACCTCGTCTCCAAAAAAAAAGAAAAACCCACCAAGGTCCAAGCATGATGATGCACACTGGCAATCTTAGCACTTTGGGAGGTTGAGGTGGGAGGATTGCTGAGCCCAGGAGTTGGAGGCCAGCCTGGACAACATAGTGAGACCTCCTCTCTACAGTTTTTTTTAATTAGCCAGGTGTGGTGGCACGTGCTTGTAGATCCAGGCAGGAGGATCACTTGAGCCCAGAAGATTGAGGCTGCAGTGAGCTCTGATTGTGCCACTGCATTCCAGCCTGAATAACAGAGCAAGACCATGTCTCAAAGAACAAAAACAAACAAACAGAAAACCACCAAAGCACACCACCTCCAAAAACCCATCTGTCTTTGGAAATGCTATCACCATCACTGTACGTACCCAATGTTGTATGTATTCACATGCTCAGTTGTTAATTTCTGTGCAATTCACCTGGCTAGTGAAATGTTACGTTTTCTGCGCAGGGCTCACGCTCTGTGAGTCTCAGCCATCCCTTGAGTAATTAACCTTGTCCTGGGGAACAAATAGTTCTAGATACACACAGCCTAATTTTTGCTAAGTCAAGCCAAGAAAGGTCAAACAAAATGACAGCTCATGATGCCCCAGAGGCTTGAAAGTGTTCACAGAAGTTGAATGTGAAAAAAGCACAAGGGTTTCCACGGATGGAGATGGACCCTCCAAACACAGAAGGGCTCTGTGCAGTTCCCCACCCTGTGCTATTGATGACCAAGTCTCAGGCAGCTGATGATCACTTTCTAATACAGACACAGAGAGAGAGCAGCGCGTGAGACAGGGTGGGAGGCAGATGCCCACGGCCAGTGTGGGAAAGAGCAGCCCAGTGAGCATAGAGCCCAGCAGCGGCCACCCCGTCCTCCAAACCTGGTCAAATTTCCCTGGCGGGAGGAATGAAAGGGAACACACTTCTGATAAAAGAGGGGGAGAATCTTGGCCCTGGGAAAGATCAGGATTGTAGTTACAAGAACAATGGCAACAATGGTAGGAACTCCTTTGCCTCACAGCTTCATTTTTGGGATGATTAAACTGAGGTTAATAATGGGACACAGAGCTAGATCGCGGCAGAAGGGATTGGGACCCAAGTGTCTCTGAAGTTCCATCATTGTTATTTTATTTTATTTTATTGATTGATTGATTGATTGAGACAGAGTCTTGCTCTGTCGCCAGGCTGGAGAACAGTGGCGCAGTCTCTGCTCACTGCAACCTCCGCCTCCCGGGTTCAAGCGATTCTTCCACCTCAGCCTCCCAAGTAGCTGGGACTACAGGCATGTGCCAAACACCTGGCTAATTTTTGTGTTTTTAGTAGAGACAGGGTTTCACCATGTTGGCCAGAATGGTCTTGATCTCTTGACCGCGTGATCCACCCGTCTTAGCCTCCCAAAGTGCTGGGATTACAGGCATGAGCCACTGCGCCCAGCCTAAAATTTTATTATTTTATTTATTTTTAAATTTAGTTTACTTTTATTGTTTTATTTCATTTATTTCATTTTTTGAGATGAAGTCTCACTCTGCTGCCCAGGCTGGAATGAAGTGGTGCGATCTCGGCTCACTGTAACCTCTGCCTCCTGGGTTCAAGCGATTCTCCTGCCTCAGTCTCCCAAGTAGCTGGGATTACAGGTGCCCATCACTACACTGGACTAATTTTTGTATTTTCAGTAGAGATGGAGTTTCACCATGTTGGTCAGGCTGATCACGAACTCCTGACCTTAAGAGATCCACTTGCCTCAGTTTCCTGCAGTGCTGGGATTACAGTGCTCAGCCACCTTGCCTGGCCCGTCTACCTGTTTTCTTTTCTTTTCTTTTTTTTTTAGACGGAGTCTTGCTCTGTCACTCAGGCTCGAGTGTAGTGGCACGATCTTGGCTTACTGCAACCTCCACCTCCCGGAAAGTGATTTTCCTGTCTCAGCCTCCTGAGCAGCTGGGACTACAGGCAGGCACCACCACACCCAGCTAATTTTTTGTATTTTTAGTAGAGACGGGGTTTTACCATATTGGCCAGGCTGGTCTTGAACTCCTGACCTCGTGATCCACCCGCCTCAGCCTCCCAAAGTGCTGGGATTACAGACGTGAGCCACCGCGCCCCGGCCCATCTACCTGTTTTCTAAAACAGCATGCTGCTGCCAAGCTCCATAGATGCCCCCATCGTGCCCCTAGGAAGTGCTCATCACCCACATGGACTCCTGAAAGACACAGTAACAGTGGAGCAGTAAGAGCTGAGGAGGAGAATGGACAGATACAACAGAATCTGCAGCATGGTGGTCACTGGTAGCCTGGGGATGGGGTCTGGAGCTCCCGCAGGCCTGGCATGGGCAGTTGCTGACTTCCCACCTAGACTTTGGGTGCCGACTCCTTGGAACAAGCTGTCCAGCCAGCCATGACTTCATCTTTTTAGTGAGGGGCTCCAGGTTCCAGGGATGTCTCAGCCACTATGAGGTCACAGACTTCCCTCAGTGGAATCTTGTCTTCCCAGCTGTAGCCCAGTCCCCCATTAATGCAACCAGTGTGTTGGAAGCAGGGCTTCTGATACGTCTGCTTAGACTTGCTAAGTGGAAGTATCTCTCCCCTGCCCCTAGAAAAATATCAGGCCAAGGCCTTAGAATTGTTCTGATCATTCTTAGTAATAAAAAGTCTTGCAATTGCTAAAAATAGAAAACACAGTTCCTATTCAACAATTTTATTTTATTTTATTATTTTTTAATAATACACCAGGAGGGCCAGGTGCAGTGGTTCACACCTATAATTTCAGCACTTTGGGAGGCCAAGGTGGGCAAATCACAAGGTCAGGAATTCGAGACCAGCCTGGCGAATATGGTGAAACCCCGTCTCTACTAAGTAATAAACAAATTAGCCAGGAGTGGTGGTGCACACCTGTAATTCTAGCTACTTGGCAACAGAGCGAGACTCCATCTCAAAAAAAAAAAAAAACTAACCCACCAG